TATATATATTATTATATTATACTGTATGTAAGTCAGTTTATTGAACTGGCCTGGATGAGAGCCGACAAAAAAAAAAGTGTCATGCACATCAGGGCCCTGGGGCTTATTTTCGATTTTCATGCAGCTCTTCCAAATGAACAAATGAGGAACTACAATGTGTGTACGTGCATGCCAGAGATACACGGGGCATCTTTCATTGCACTTTTTCATCAGGCTGCACTGTAACATACAGTAGAGGCCTATAGATATTGTTACTTTATTACCACCGCATTCTGCTCTCAGCACATTCCTTTAAATAATGCATCTGGCCATTGTACAACAATCTTCCGCCCCCTTTACTCGTTCCATAACGCCACATATCAGCAGATTTCTGCTTAGTCTGCTATCACGAAGAGTAACTAGTATGATTTCAGCGTTTATAGTCTTCACTCGCTATCATCTCGTTTATGCAACAATGGCCCTGCTTGCTGTTTTTTTTTTTTTTTTTGTTTTGTTTTTTTTTTTTAGCAGAAGTAGCTTTTGGCAAAGGGGATAATTGAACTGATATGCAATCAAGCTGGCAGCAAGTGCTTAGCAACAGTGGAAGAAAACTGAAGCACTGCAGTCAAGGGATGACAATCATCTGCGTGAATGTTGTAGAACATTATTACGCTATTTACATACCAATATAAATATTAAAAAAAAAAAAAAAAATAGAAATTCTCACAAACCATCACGTGCGGTTAGAATAGTAATGTAGTCCAAGCAAAATATACCACAGATGGATTCATTTACGCAGGCTATTACTTTTTTTTTTTTTAATCCTTGAACGTTACAAACTCAATAAATTGCTTCAAGCTAATTTGCACCATACAAACAGTGTAAATAGCCTGAAAGAAATTGGGTGGGCTCAGCCATGGATGTGTTTGATCATCACATTTAGAAAGGAAAACCTTCCAATTAGCCAGTCGAGGGAGAGAAAAACAAATCTGTCTGCTTAATGTTAAGCTTTAACTCTTTGCGGTGTACTGGAGTGCTCAGTGTTAGATTCGCAGCATAGCATGCTACGCTTGAGGAATATGAAACGATTACGCATCCTCTTAGGAAAATGTGTTTAGGATTCAGAGCGTTGCTCAATGATTCTTTGACAATGCCAATACAGTAGTCTGCTGACGTGAACCACTTCGGTAAATGTCTAAACAAACAGAAGCAACAGCAGCAGAGTAAAATGAGGTTGTTTCGTGTTCTTTCGGCACCCTCCATTAGGGTTTGAGATGTGTCAAATTAACCATAGCATATTGATTATCATAGTCAGATATTATATGTCGTAAAGTATGAGTAAAATGTTGTGAGCAAATTGTATTTAGGCATACAATATCTCCTTCGAGGGCGGCCTGGTGGTCCAGTGGTTAGCGCGAAACAGACAAGTCAAGACAAAATTAACAATAAAAAATGATAAACACGAAATAAACAGTACATGATAATTGAAGCTGGCATTGTCATTGCCAAAACCTCACGATTTTGATGCAATTTAGATTTTTTTGGGTTGTGAATCAATTCAATTTTGATTCTTCAGGTTGCGATTCCATTCCAGTTGATATTTTAACTGCTCCAATATTGATTCAATGGCATGAGAATATGAGCGTGATTTATACCAGACATAATTGTGGAACTAAAACAGTTTTGGAAAGAGTAATGGTCCAAAACTCATGCTGGCCATTGTGCTAGTCTGATTTGCATCTATAGGAAAGGTTTGGTTGAGGTTCTTGCTGCTAAAGCAGGCTCCGCCAGTTATTAAATTCCAATATTTACTTTAAATTTTTATTTATTTATTTTTACCTGCGATGTGACATTTAAATGTATTCAATAAAAACACAAAAATATATACTGTAATTGTGTGGCATTACTTTTATTAAAGAAAACAGTGTCTTTTTTGTGATAAAGTTAGATAACTAACCGAACCTAACCTAATATATTTTCTTCCCTTTGCAACTGTGTATACAGTAAATATACCAGCTTGACGCTGGTGGAAGTCCTCCAATGAATGCCTTTTCAGTTTCGCATTGTCATAAATCATCTGCCTTTTTGCATTCACTATAGCACTGCCAGAGCAATTCTGAACCAATGAAAAATCCCAGGCTCCTAGATCCAAGTGTCCTGGCAGAAGGATTTGGGGTGGCTATGGGTTCTGCATGAGTGCACACCCAGATTGAAGTCTGTTTTGTCTTCACAGGATGATGAAGTGGTGCTCCAGTGTGTGGCCTGCATTCAGAAAGAGAATCGAAAATTTTGCCTGGCTGCTGAAGGGCTGGGCAACCGGCTATGTTACCTGGAGCCCACGTCTGAGGCAAAGGTAGGCACACAAACTCCTCTCTATCTTGCATCTGACTGTCCAGCAGGTCAGTCTTGTCAGTGTCTACCTTCCATCCATTTTACTTCACTTATCCAGTTCACAACCAAGGGATACCTCTGCCTCTGTGGACCTGCAGTCTGGCGATCATTTGCTTGAATTACACCCCTGGATGTTTTTGATAGACTGTTTCATAGACAGTATTGTTGCTTGGGCTAAATGCCTTCAACATCATTGCTGAGCGGCGAGTTTGTAGCTGACGTTGCAATTTCTAATTGGCCCAACTGTAGCTGCTGCATATAGTTTGTTTACTCACATCACAGCATTTTTCCAAAAACCGCAATCTGGTTCACCTTTTGATCCGTCGTGTAGTTTAATCATCGATTGGCGTGACATTATTGCAGTGCAACACTGTGCAACCTGCTAATGAATTCATCACAGAAGGAAAATCACATCTCTGCATCTCAGTAAATAAAGAACCGAAATTGAAGATATCAGATTTTTCTTCTTCTTGGAAGGTGGATGTTTGTTGTAAGAAGGAAACACACTTTTGTGAAAATCTGTCTGGACCGTCTCCACAATTCTGGCACCTTACCGTAGAGGTACATTACCATTATATGGGTCCTAAGACTTCTAAAACGAGAAACAGCATAAATAGGCCCTGTATCGATCACTGGGAAAAGAGTGTTTTATCTAGATCAAGATTCTGATGTGTAAGGCAATTAAAGAAACAAAATGGACTGTCATAATCACATTATACACTATTTTATCATACTGACTACATTTACATGCCATCAATATTTGGGCTAAGGCCAAAATTCCAGTTTCTGAAACATTTGCAATAACCCATTTACATAAGGGAGCAGACAGAGTAACTCCCGTACACATACAACATACAACATACATACAAGTGTTACTTACACTTACACAGTGTTAAATCACAAGAAATGTAGTACTGGCTACCATTTCAATGGCCTGTGTTGCCCTCAACGAAGTCTCACAAAGATTATTTATGTATGTTAACTGGGGATGGGTAATGCTCTCTCCTCCCATATTGAGTGCTAATTAAACCTGTGCGATTGATGTTTTCCCCGTATTACGCTCTGTCTTCATTGGTGCCCTGTTTAAAAACACACTCAAAGACATTGAAACCAACCTGTACCAGATTAGAAGCTTCACTGAAACTGTGAGCTGGTCTGATAATGAGGCACGAGGGCAGCAGAACAGGATGAGCTTGATATAACTTACTCGGTAACCAATTAATCGGACTGTTGATTCTGATTAACTACCAGCAGGTCAATCATGTAATATTTCTTAAAAATAACACACTGTCACCGTTTAGATAAACCGGTTCAGGTTGAGCTCGGTGTCTCCTGACATCCAACGCCATTTCCTTCCTGATTCAGCCCACAATCACAGCGTCGTCCACAATATAGATATGGCAGGGCTCCAAGTTGTACTTGAAGTCTGACATGCACAAGATGAACAGGATATAATAGATCTTATATACAGTATCCTGTTGTTTATCCAATTATATGTCAGGTGCAGTGAAACTGCAGTCGTCAGCCAGAATTTAATGACTGGGCATCACATTACAACGTCCGTGTGGATATTTTGCTTTGATGGCAAAAAAGTTCTTCAATCCAAATATGTAAGAATAAAATAACCACTTGACGTGATGACAGCTTCTTTGTTTGAATTACTCTCTCACGTTTGTGCATTGTACTCGCCAGTGAATCAACTTACCCCAGATTCTTTGCAAAGACCAAATGTGCTTGTCGATAGATAACCTTTAAAAAATCAATATGGCAACCAAGTAAGAGGGATGTTGCTCATGAGCATTTATGTGCATCTTATGACAGTTGATGTCAATTTACATAGGGTATGAGCATTTGTACATGCAAATGTCATTCACTGATTTGCATTGAATTGTTCACTCCAGGGCGGCACGGTGATCGACTGGTTATCATGTGGGCCTCACAATGCAGAGGTGCAGGGTTCGATTCCGGTTGCGGCCTTCCTGTGTCGGGTTTGCATGTTCTCCCCATGACTGCGTGGATATGCTCCGAGTACTCCGGTTTCCTCCCACATTCTAAAAACACGCGTGGCAGTTAACGAAACACTCTAAATTGTCCCAAGGTGTGATTGTGAGTGCAAATGGTTGTTCGTCTACTTGTGCCCTGCCGGATTGGCTGGCAGCCAGTTCAGTGTGTCCCCCGCCTGCTGTCCGATGACGGCTGGGATAGGCTCCAAGCGCGCCCTCGACCCTCGGGAGGAATCAGCGGATCAGAAAATGGATGGATGGATGTTCAATCCAGTCCAAAAATGAAACAATACAGCAACGTGTCGTAATTACGAAGCCGGGTTCTGCTCTGTTCTGTTGCTGCAGTATGTCCCTCCAGACCTATGCATCTGTACCTTTGTGCTGGAACAGTCGCTGTCGGTGCGGGCCCTGCAAGAGATGCTGGCTAAAAGTGGACAGAACAATGAAGGGGTGAGCAATGCTACACACAAATGCAGAAAACACCATTCTGTACTGAAACTGAAACTCAAATCATGCGCTATTGCAGACTTATACTGTTTCTGCTGTATATGTAGTATTGATGTGCTGCGTTAGTACAGTATTTGGAAATCATATTTTATTATTTGCAGTGTCTGCAGTCAGCATAGTTTCGAGATGAATAGCCTAAGAAAAGCCACTGCAGTGATCAGTGGACCCCAGTTGCCAAGAGGTCTTGGCCTGCCTGAATATGAATGTGTATGAAGGAAATGCAGTAGTCCAATTTAGCCCCACAGTTTTCTTTGGGAGAAACAAACTTTGCAAAAAAAAAATTCATTACCGAGCTACTTCGAGGATAATGACACGAGCTGCTGGTGGGTCGCGAATTTAATCAAGGCAAGGTGAATTTATCGTCATTTGTTTCATATTCCTCTTAATATTACTCTGTGCTACCTGTCTCCTTGATGTCTATTCTTCCATCATGGTGTTTTATTTTCTGTGCTCAATCTCCATCTGCCACATGGTAGACATGCGGCCCGGATCGATGGGTATGTTCACCTCTCATACCATTTCACTTCTCGTCTCTCCTGCATGACGCAGCGAAATGACGCACAGACACGCCACGCTGCAATATTTGTCTTCATCATAGAAGCTGTGGTTGATGTGGATGACTGGTAAATAGACCGAATTTAGTTCTCTCTGGATCTATTACATCCACTGACAGAGATAAATAGAGTTTAGCTCCCTTTCACTAACGTTAATGTCAGGGTATCATTTGTGTCTTCGGGACATTCTGTTGTTTTTCATGGCAGTACCATTTGGTTCATGTTATTCTTGGCAAGATAAGCTTACGCTTGTCACTGTGTCTTCTTTCAGAAATTGTGACTCTATGAAATGATGCAAACAACCATGTGAAGAATCTATCTGGAATAGAGAGCACACATTTCCACCAGTTATGTCAAGCAAAGAAAAAAAAAAAAAGCTAGTCTTCTCATCTTTTTAGCCAGTTCACCCCTTAATGCCACATGGCTAATGATGTTGAGAATTCCAATAAATCCTCGACTGTTAGCGGATCATATTCATTGCCTTGACGTCCGAGATAAATGGATGTATCAGGGCTTCAGCTTTGCGGCTGTAACGGGGTGCCTGTGAGCAGATGAGACCATTGGTTCCGCCACTCTCAGGGTGTGCTGGCAGGGAATTATGGGCAGCAGCAATAGGAAAAGACAGCTCAAAATATTAAACACGGAGGTAACGCTCAATTAGACTTCTTTTACCAGCAGTTCAAAGTTTCTCCTCTTCACATGAGGGCACTCAGCGCAGAAGACCTCAGCCAAGACATACAGTATTTCATTTGGGAAATGAGTGTTTGAACCAGGTCAGGAAGTTCTTCTGAATCTGATGAAAATAAACACACCCAAAGCTGGAAGGAGCAATGAGCTGGCTCTTGCACCTCCACGTACATCGGGGAAGACAAAAGTCTCAAGGCACAGCGGCTCGATGATTAAAATACAGTACAGGGGGTCGTCTTTATGACTGACGTACCTGTTTTGAGATTATAAATGGCGTCCAATAAATTATGACATCACGCATCACCAATATAAGAAAAAAACAGCCAAAGGATCCCTTATAGGGCTACGGATTGTTTGAAAGAAATGGGAGTGTTACAGGTGGTCTTATTGCCTTGAGACATTTCTGCCAGTTGAAAGGTCCACTGTCGCCATGGATTCTGGTTCAGGTTGAGACCTTTAAACAGAGTTAGGAGATTATCATTGATTCTTTTAATGTACATGTTGTCACAGGATATGATGTAATAGTGCATCCACAAATATAGAGCTTGGAACAGATGGCCTGATCAATAGATGCTGGCTTAAGCAAATTGCTAGTTGGCTCTGATTTAGCCAGACGACGTGGGACACATCATGAACGACAAAGATAACACCCCAAGTGCACACCATCCCCACAGAGCTTGATATCTATCAGTAGGCTGAGATCGGTCCATCAAAGAGACAGCACTGCCCTGCAGACATTTAATGTGCACCTTCTTTGCTCTTTTTTGTGGGTCCTTCCAGAGCACAACAGATTGGCTAATAATGCAAACAGCTGCACCTTGAAGGGGTGGTCTGCCAGACATCTAGCTGTTCGATTAAATATGTCACTTACACAATGGTCAAAAGCTGGATGGCATTCTACACCATCCACTGCCTCTTATATCCATTTCGATCGACATGCTTTACCTTTATGGGTCAGTTAGCTATGGCTGATGCATTTTCTCATTTTAGTAATTGCGCCACCAGCTTCTTAAGTGTTTTTGAGCCTCGATCATTCGCACTGTGTTCCCTTTATATAGATAACTGCCTCACAGTGGTATAAGGGCGGGAGACTTGAGTTTATTGGTCATGGTGATTGCAGCTAGCTGTGTCTCACTGCGTTAAACTCAGTATACCTCAAACAGCTGCACACAAATCTGGAAGCCAGTGCTGCAGTCAACATTAAATCGCTGACTTGCTGTTGTCTCGTAGTCAGTGGAGGTGCACAGTTATATACCGTAGAGAGAACAGAATAAGTAAGACGGTGAATGAGTGAATGCTTTCAATGATCAATTCTATCATTTATATTCACTACATGGACAAAAGTCATGGGAGACGCCTTTAAAGCAGTTACGTGATCTATTAACAGTAGATTTGGTCCTATTGGTAACCCTATGCCACACACAGACACACGATTGTGGATTGAAGGTGGTCTCCAAGTGCCCACTTCGCAGTGGCCAGCTTTACATCATCCGCAAGATCGAGATGAGCTGGCAGTTCCTAATAAACATACTTTGCCCATTCCAATCTTTTCCACAGACTTCAGCGAGTCCATTATTCTTTCGCCATGTCGACCATGCGTCATTGGCCCGGAAAGGAATCGGCTCTGTTCGGTCCCACAACGGCGCAAACGCCCATTTCTAACGGCACCTGTCAAAGAAAATGCCAAAAGAAAGAAAATTCTACCCCCCACGCACAGTTAGATTGCACCTTGCACGAGACTTGCACTTGGCACCAAGTTCGGGCCCTTTTAATATGACAGACGAGTTTTCCTTCTAAAATGTATACTTATTGACAGCCATTAAGTATGTTGGTTATTTGTACCAACCACGGTGACAAGAAAGTCTTAGAATCATGAAACTCTTGTCTTACCTTAATGCTTCCTAGAGGCTGATAAGAAAGGTGAGTAATCAAGGGGTTTCCCGCTGAACAAAATCAGCGTCAAAACTTCTCCTTCTTCAGCGATATCATTCGTTCCCTTCCTGCATCTGAAACTCCATAATCGATGGATCCATTCCCTGCTAATTCTCACACGACTGACCGTAGTTTAGCATTTTTCCCACATCCCTCTGGATGGATTGCTGGAAAGATGACAAAGTATCCTTGCACATATCTCAGTGGGAGACGACCCCTTCCCTAAAATATGTGTTCCCAGCATGAGGCCGTCTTTATCTGTGAGGAGTTCCTCGCTGAGGTCATATATGGCAGCTTCAGATGACATGTCATTTCCATCATGATGGATGTATGTGAATTATGTCTTCAGGCAGCGCAGAGTGGTGGCCACAAGACTCTACTGTATGGACACGCCATCCTCCTACGGCACTCATTCAGTTCCATGGTAAGAAATTGCAAGCCATGAATCTAGATTACAGCAGGAGCAGAATATGGTATATGACAAGACGATGGCCTTTTTTGCTTTCATATGAACCCTTTCAGGGACAGCGGTTACTACAGTGGACAGCCTATCATGGTATCAGATTACAGGGTATCATCATTGGTGCACAAAAGGGTTAAAAATGGTTCGGCACCATGACATGCATTTACAATATATACTAGGAAAACGACAGGACACAACGTTGTGATCTAAAATGCATTTCCAATTTGTGGCAATATACAAAATTACACTCGCAGAAAGGTTCGATTCATTATTAGTTCTTAGAATTTGGGTTTGGGGGGGGTTGCGGATGGCCTTGTGGTAGACCTTGTTTTCTTTGCATTCGTTGCATTCATTGCAACACAATTGTCACTTTGTCATGGAAAATTTCAGCATCTGCCAGTCGCAGAGGGTTATTTAATGTGTGTGTCTATAAGTGTGTTTCTGTGTGTGTGGGTGTGTTGCCCACAGTACCTGGCTTGTTTGAAGACATCAAGGTCACAGACCGATAAGCTATCATTTGATGTCGGCCTACAGGAGGATTCAACAGGTAAAAGCAGAAAAAGAGAAGCTTCATTAGTTTGTTTTAATCCTCCGCAGATTCTCTCTCTGTCGTTCTCTCTCGGCGCCTCCTCTCCCTCTTGATCTATTTCTTGGTTATTCCTGAGCAAATTTCACTGTGTGCCTTTTTATCATCACTGTTAATATTCCTTATAGAGCGCTGTGGACAGAAAATGTATTTCTTTTGTCAGGGCTGATTTGATGTCTCCAGCACATTTTATAGTCTTGTGCTATCCATATTCCTAGTCCAACTTCTTATTTACATAGTTATCCACCCCCACCCTCTTCCCCACCAGTTTTTGCAGTTGATGAGCTGTCACCTCATTGTTGAAGCATGTCCCATTGGTGCCGTTTCTCCGTATTACCATCACCTGAAATCATCTACAACATTTGGGTGCCACCCGTGGTGTATTTCACTTTACATGCTATTGTATAATTAAATGTGTACGTCGTTGTAGGTGAGGCTTGTTGGTGGACAATCCACCCTGCCTCTAAGCAGAGATCAGAAGGAGAGAAGGTGCGCATAGGTGATGACCTCATCCTTGTCAGCGTGTCCTCTGAGCGATATCTTGTAAGTAGCTCTTGCTTGTCATGTTCATGTCACAAACGTTTTCTTAATGGTCACAAGTACCCTCAGCATGTGCTTCGACAAGGCTTCCTCGAATGGATGAAAGGTCATATTCCTTCACTGCAAACATGTCTTTTTTTTTTGCAAAATGATCATGTGGTTGCCATTCGAGTGCTGTTCGGTGCTTTTTAAAGAGAGGTTGAGGCCTGCGCTTTCATCACCTTTGTCTAAACCTTGTCACTCCCTCCAGCAAGGGTTCTTCCATATCATAGCACATCACCTCCCCTGATCTTTGCATGATATAGCTGCACACTTGAAACCATTACAGCACAGTCTGTGTGATCCATGGCGATGGCGACAGCATCGGCAAGCAGCAAAGGGCTTGGCCTTGAATGATGTGAGCCTGCCTTGTAGTCGCTAATGTCAGTCTGGCAATTTGCGTTCGCTGTCACCCACGCTTTGTGGTTTGTGGGGACATGAAGCACCAAAGGGCTGCACATTACTCTGGGGAGAAAGTTCAAGACACAGCTGCCACTCAGTCTGTTTGCTGGAGTATGAAACACACGCTACGGACATAACATTAGGTACATCTACAAGATCTAATTCAAGACAAGAGATAAAGCCCAAATGATGCCTTTGCAAGGAAAATCATGTTTCCTTTTTTTTTTTAAATGGCAGCTTTTAATAGTTGAGAACTGCATTGATCTTTTTCTATTATTTTGGTTATTTCATTCCATAACATGAGCCGATCATACAAATATTGCGACCACTGTACCTACTAGCATGACGCATCGCAACTCTAAACCGCTGTAAGCTGCAACTTCACTGATAACGACGGTGAAATTACCGTCTCCCTCAACACTGAACAAGATTGCATTTTTGAAGGCTTTTTTTTTTACTTTGTTGTTTTTTTGTATTTATCAGACGTTGCCAGTCCACTGAAATTAGAAGGAAACATAAGAATGCATAGCTTGCATTTGGTATTGCTCCAGTCCGATAGCAGAATACTTTTGGCGTAAATATAATGCACATAAGCGGTGAGCATGCTGTATTATGTAAATATTACTGAATGTTGAAACCGCTCACCTCCCGTCTACTGTTAGTGTTTGGTTGCACATAATGAGCTTAAACACAGTTTGCAATCTTGTGTCCTACAGCATTTATCAATTTCCAATGGCAACATTCAGGTGGACGCATCCTTCATGCAGACGTTGTGGAACGTCCATCCCATCTGCTCTGGCAGCAACATAGAGGAAGGTAGACAGCTGAGCCAACACCCCTTCCTTCACGCTGTCTAATTTTCTTCGCCATTTTCAAGATGGATTTTCATTGCTTTGATTTTTACTTTCTCTCTGGATCTATTACATCCACTGACAGAGATAAATAGAGTTTAGCTCCCTTTCACTAACGTTAATGTCAGGGTATCATTTGTGTCTTCGGGACATTCTGTTGTTTTTCATGGCAGTACCATTTGGTTCATGTTATTCTTGGCAAGATAAGCTTACGCTTGTCACTGTGTCTTCTTTCAGAAATTGTGACTCTATGAAATGATGCAAACAACCATGTGAAGAATCTATCTGGAATAGAGAGCACACATTTCCACCAGTTATGTCAAGCAAAGAAAAAAAAAAAAAGCTAGTCTTCTCATCTTTTTAGCCAGTTCACCCCTTAATGCCACATGGCTAATGATGTTGAGAATTCCAATAAATCCTCGACTGTTAGCGGATCATATTCATTGCCTTGACGTCCGAGATAAATGGATGTATCAGGGCTTCAGCTTTGCGGCTGTAACGGGGTGCCTGTGAGCAGATGAGACCATTGGTTCCGCCACTCTCAGGGTGTGCTGGCAGGGAATTATGGGCAGCAGCAATAGGAAAAGACAGCTCAAAATATTAAACACGGAGGTAACGCTCAATTAGACTTCTTTTACCAGCAGTTCAAAGTTTCTCCTCTTCACATGAGGGCACTCAGCGCAGAAGACCTCAGCCAAGACATACAGTATTTCATTTGGGAAATGAGTGTTTGAACCAGGTCAGGAAGTTCTTCTGAATCTGATGAAAATAAACACACCCAAAGCTGGAAGGAGCAATGAGCTGGCTCTTGCACCTCCACGTACATCGGGGAAGACAAAAGTCTCAAGGCACAGCGGCTCGATGATTAAAATACAGTACAGGGGGTCGTCTTTATGACTGACGTACCTGTTTTGAGATTATAAATGGCGTCCAATAAATTATGACATCACGCATCACCAATATAAGAAAAAAACAGCCAAAGGATCCCTTATAGGGCTACGGATTGTTTGAAAGAAATGGGAGTGTTACAGGTGGTCTTATTGCCTTGAGACATTTCTGCCAGTTGAAAGGTCCACTGTCGCCATGGATTCTGGTTCAGGTTGAGACCTTTAAACAGAGTTAGGAGATTATCATTGATTCTTTTAATGTACATGTTGTCACAGGATATGATGTAATAGTGCATCCGCAAATATAGAGCTTGGAACAGATGGCCTGATCAATAGATGCTGGCTTAAGCAAATTGCTAGTTGGCTCTGATTTAGCCAGACGACGTGGGACACATCATGAACGACAAAGATAACACCCCAAGTGCACACCATCCCCACAGAGCTTGATATCTATCAGTAGGCTGAGATCGGTCCATCAAAGAGACAGCACTGCCCTGCAGACATTTAATGTGCACCTTCTTTGCTCTTTTTTGTGGGTCCTTCCAGAGCACAACAGATTGGCTAATAATGCAAACAGCTGCACCTTGAAGGGGTGGTCTGCCAGACATCTAGCTGTTCGATTAAATATGTCACTTACACAATGGTCAAAAGCTGGATGGCATTCTACACCATCCACTGCCTCTTATATCCATTTCGATCGACATGCTTTACCTTTATGGGTCAGTTAGCTATGGCTGATGCATTTTCTCATTTTAGTAATTGCGCCACCAGCTTCTTAAGTGTTTTTGAGCCTCGATCATTCGCACTGTGTTCCCTTTATATAGATAACTGCCTCACAGTGGTATAAGGGCGGGAGACTTGAGTTTATTGGTCATGGTGATTGCAGCTAGCTGTGTCTCACTGCGTTAAACTCAGTATACCTCAAACAGCTGCACACAAATCTGGAAGCCAGTGCTGCAGTCAACATTAAATCGCTGACTTGCTGTTGTCTCGTAGTCAGTGGAGGTGCACAGTTATATACCGTAGAGAGAACAGAATAAGTAAGACGGTGAATGAGTGAATGCTTTCAATGATCAATTCTATCATTTATATTCACTACATGGACAAAAGTCATGGGAGACGCCTTTAAAGCAGTTACGTGATCTATTAACAGTAGATTTGGTCCTATTGGTAACCCTATGCCACACACAGACACACGATTGTGGATTGAAGGTGGTCTCCAAGTGCCCACTTCGCAGTGGCCAGCTTTACATCATCCGCAAGATCGAGATGAGCTGGCAGTTCCTAATAAACATACTTTGCCCATTCCAATCTTTTCCACAGACTTCAGCGAGTCCATTATTCTTTCGCCATGTCGACCATGCGTCATTGGCCCGGAAAGGAATCGGCTCTGTTCGGTCCCACAACGGCGCAAACGCCCATTTCTAACGGCACCTGTCAAAGAAAATGCCAAAAGAAAGAAAATTCTACCCCCCACGCACAGTTAGATTGCACCTTGCACGAGACTTGCACTTGGCACCAAGTTCGGGCCCTTTTAATATGACAGACGAGTTTTCCTTCTAAAATGTATACTTATTGACAGCCATTAAGTATGTTGGTTATTTGTACCAACCACGGTGACAAGAAAGTCTTAGAATCATGAAACTCTTGTCTTACCTTAATGCTTCCTAGAGGCTGATAAGAAAGGTGAGTAATCAAGGGGTTTCCCGCTGAACAAAATCAGCGTCAAAACTTCTCCTTCTTCAGCGATATCATTCGTTCCCTTCCTGCATCTGAAACTCCATAATCGATGGATCCATTCCCTGCTAATTCTCACACGACTGACCGTAGTTTAGCATTTTTCCCACATCCCTCTGGATGGATTGCTGGAAAGATGACAAAGTATCCTTGCACATATCTCAGTGGGAGACGACCCCTTCCCTAAAATATGTGTTCCCAGCATGAGGCCGTCTTTATCTGTGAGGAGTTCCTCGCTGAGGTCATATATGGCAGCTTCAGATGACATGTCATTTCCATCATGATGGATGTATGTGAATTATGTCTTCAGGCAGCGCAGAGTGGTGGCCACAAGACTCTACTGTATGGACACGCCATCCTCCTCCGGCACTCATTCAGATCCATGGTAAGAAATTGCAAGCCATGAATCTAGATTACAGCAGGAGCAGAATATGGTATATGACAAGACGATGGCCTTTTTTGCTTTCATATGAACCCTTTCAGGGACAGCGGTTACTACAGTGGACAGCCTATCATGGTATCAGATTACAGGGTATCATCATTGGTGCACAAAAGGGTTAAAAATGGTTCGGCACCATGACATGCATTTACAATATATACTAGGAAAACGACAGGACACAACGTTGTGATCTAAAATGCATTTCCAATTTGTGGCAATATACAAAATTACACTCGCAGAAAGGTTCGATTCATTATTAGTTCTTAGAATTTGGGTTTGGGGGGGGTTGCGGATGGCCTTGTGGTAGACCTTGTTTTCTTTGCATTCGTTGCATTCATTGCAACACAATTGTCACTTTGTCATGGAAAATTTCAGCATCTGCCAGTCGCAGAGGGTTATTTAATGTGTGTGTCTATAAGTGTGTTTCTGTGTGTGTGGGTGTGTTGCCCACAGTACCTGGCTTGTTTGAAGACATCAAGGTCACAGACCGATAAGCTATCATTTGATGTCGGCCTACAGGAGGATTCAACAGGTAAAAGCAGAAAAAGAGAAGCTTCATTAGTTTGTTTTAATCCTCCGCAGATTCTCTCTCTGTCGTTCTCTCTCGGCGCCTCCTCTCCCTCTTGATCTATTTCTTGGTTATTCCTGAGCAAATTTCACTGTGTGCCTTTTTATCATCACTGTTAATATTCCTTATAGAGCGCTGTGGACAGAAAATGTATTTCTTTTGTCAGGGCTGATTTGATGTCTCCAGCACATTTTATAGTCTTGTGCTATCCATATTCCTAGTCCAACTTCTTATTTACATAGTTATCCACCCCCACCCTCTTCCCCACCAGTTTTTGCAGTTGATGAGCTGTCACCTCATTGTTGAAGCATGTCCCATTGGTGCCGTTTCTCCGTATTACCATCACCTGAAATCATCTACAACATTTGGGTGCCACCCGTGGTGTATTTCACTTTACATACTATTGTATAATTAAATGTGTACGTCGTTGTAGGTGAGGCTTGTTGGTGGACAATCCACCCTGCCTCTAAGCAGAGATCAGAAGGAGAGAAGGTGCGCATAGGTGATGACCTCATCCTTGTCAGCGTGTCCTCTGAGCGATATCTTGTAAGTAGCTCTTGCTTGTCATGTTCATGTCACAAACGTTTTCTTAATGGTCACAAGTACCCTCAGCATGTGCTTCGACAAGGCTTCCTCGAATGGATGAAAGGTCATATTCCTTCACTGCAAACATGTCTTTTTTTTTTGCAAAATGATCATGTGGTTGCCATTCGAGCTGTTCGGTGTGCTTTTTAAAGAGAGGTTGAGGCCTGCGCTTTCATCACCTTTGTCTAAACCTTGTCACTCCCTCCAGCAAGGGTTCTTCCATATCATAGCACATCACCTCCCCTGATCTTTGCATGATATAGCTGCACACTTGAAACCATTACAGCACAGTCTGTGTGATCCATGGCGATGGCGACAGCATCGGCAAGCAGCAAAGGGCTTGGCCTTGAATGATGTGAGCCTGCCTTGTAGTCGCTAATGTCAGTCTGGCAATTTGCGTTCGCTGTCACCCACGCTTTGTGGTTTGTGGGGACATGAAGCACCAAAGGGCTGCACATTACTCTGGGGAGAAAGTTCAAGACACAGCTGCCACTCAGTCTGTTTGCTGGAGTATGAAACACACGCTACGGACATAACATTAGGTACATCTACAAGATCTAATTCAAGACAAGAGATAAAGCCCAAATGATGCCTTTGCAAGGAAAATCATGTTTCCTTTTTTTTTTTAAATGGCAGCTTTTAATAGTTGAGAACTGCATTGATCTTTTTCTATTATTTTGGTTATTTCATTCCATAACATGAGCCGATCATACAAATATTGCGACCACTGTACCTACTAGCATGACGCATCGCAACTCTAAACCGCTGTAAGCTGCAACTTCACTGATAACGACGGTGAAATTACCGTCTCCCTCAACACTGAACAAGATTGCATTTTTGAAGGCTTTTTTTTTGACTTTGTTGTTTTACAGTATTTATCAGACGTTGCCAGTCCACTGAAATTAGAAGGAAACATAAGAGTGCATAGCTTGCATTTGGTATTGCTCCAGTCCGACAGCAGAATACTTGTGGCGTAAATATAATGCACATAAGCGGTGAGCATGCTGTATTATGTAAATATTACTGAATCTTGAAACCGCTCACCTCCCGTCTACTGTGAGTGTTTGGTTGCACATAATGAGCTTAAACACAGTTTGCAATCTTGTGTCCTACAGCATTTATCAATCTCCAATGGCAACATCCAGGTGGACGCATCCTTCATGCAGACGTTATGGAACGTCCATCCCATCTGCTCTGGCAGCAACATAGAGGAAGGTAGACAGCTGAGCCAACACCCCTTCCTTCACGCTGTCTAATTTTCTTCGCCATTTTCAAGATGGATTTTCATTGCTTTGATTTTTACTCGTCTTGGTGTGAATAATTTATGAACACGACAAAAAAAAAAAAAAAAAGAAGCGCAGTGTGAAAATATACGTTAAAAAATATTCAAGAGAGCAATTGCGCCAAATAGGCCCTCTCTTACCTTAATAATTGCAAAAGTAATAATGTCAAAATGAAACGAGCAAGTGAAAAGCCTTTCTTATTAAATCAAATTAATTCTTATGAATGAGCGATGCGCCTGAACTTTATCGGGTTTGCTTTGTTGATTCTCACCTTTTTGTTTCGTGTTTGCAATGACTTGCTTTTCACCTCACTTTTT